TCTCGGGCCAGGGTTCCGGTGATTTCCTAGGATCGTGAAGCTCGCAATTTTCGTACTCTTTTCCGAGCAATGTGTGTCTGCAGTCTGGCGGGTTGTTGCTGTCAAAGGCTATACGCGCATTGGTTGCGAATAGTGGGCACGATGATCATGGTCCGCGGGTGCAGGGAATTGGCAGTATGGAAATTAAGGTCGAGAAGGCAAGACAAGCCTGGAGAGGACCCGTAGGGAGGTGCGATGCGAGGTAGGGGTGTAGACGGTATCTGTAGCTGTACGCAGTAGACCTTGTGTATTGTTTGTGTATGACGGTGAATTATTTGGAAACGAAGCCGCGGGTGTTGTGTCGTTTTCCGAGTTTATGCGATACAGACGGGGCCCCGTTTAATGTTGTTTCTTGTTTGTGAGTCTGTGAGGTGGTGCAAAGTGCAAGCGCAGGCATGAAAAGGTGAGTGAATGAATGAATGAATGAATGGGTCAGGCCATGGGTGAGAGCAAAGATGGGTTCGCAGTTCGCAGTTCGCACTTCACGGAAAATGGGAAAGTTTGCAATTTCTCTGGAGACGGTGCCGGAGCCGAAGGACCCAAAAGGAAGATGAAGATGGAAAACCCGAGAAGGAAGGAGGTCCAGGTTCTGGTTGCCACCTTGATTTCTATTCGCACCAAAGGAAAGAGGTTCCCGTCGCACTCCCCAAACCCAGGTCGTCAGTTTCAACTCTGGCCAAGGCAAGAACCACCAAGCCGGAGCTCTCTTTCCACGAAGAGCGTCATCGTCACTGGAGGCGAGGCAAGTTCCTGGGCCAGGCGGGTTCCTCCTTCCTCCTTCCTCCTTGGCTTGAAACGGATGGGATACCTTGATTTGTTAGTGCAACCCCATTACATAAGCTCATCTTTCTCACGTCCTCCTGTTCTCCCCCGTCTCCTCTCCTCTCCTCATAACCCTCAAAATAACCAAATGCAAACTCAGACGGGCATAACAGCCGATTGCTTCTTTCTGCCCGCTTGCCGACAGCTCTCCATTATTACGAGCGGCCTGGAATCCCTCAGAATCGGGAATCTGGGGCCGTCAATCTGGCCAGCCTCCATACACAGTAGACCTGAGCCACCCATAAACCATGTTACTGCTGCATTATATGATTGACACCCGCCACCCGTGATCCGGGAAAGACACTGCGCTGCTATTTTGGTTCAGTGAAGTGGGCAGTGGCATCTCTTTTTCGGTGGATCTATTGGCGACTGCGCAATCCCAAAATGCAAATCTCCATTCCATCTCCACGTCAGCTAGCCAGCCAAACATGCCATAATTTTCCACCTGCGAATTGCACCTGGGATCTGGGACCTGCATCGGGATGATTCCGCCAGATGCACCCAAAGTCAATCTCTCCAAGGCCCCAGCAAAAGTGAAGAGTATGTACGGAGTAGTCATGTGGCTGAGTGTGCGGCGTGCCCCCTTAACAGAACCAAGTAGCATCTCCTGAGTTCCCGACTTCCCGTCTCGGCTCACTGCTCAGATCACATCTCACCACCGGCCGAAGAGCTCCATTCCACTCTAGCCGGATGCACCAGCACCACATGGTCTCTGGCGTACCTTAGGTAGGTCGAACCAGAGAGACCAGCAGATCCCAACCAGCGTATCAACGGCTGGCCCGGAGCCTTTCATCCCACCTTTCTCACCCACCCAGCCCGAATCAGTCCGCCAGTCCGCACTCCTCCTCCTGGCGATGCATGCACGTCTGGCAGATTTGCAGATGGTTTTCCCAGCAAGGTTTCGATGACTGACCCGATTCGGGACGGTTGTGGCCGTTGGGTTGCCCTTTTGGATCAGGTGCTGGCTCCGGGGGGGGAACCATAGCTACGTCAGGGGCCTCCACAAGTGCGAATCGTGTCTCGCGGGTTACGGTCTGCGGCTTGCATTGGTGCTTCGCCCTTCTTTTTCCTTCATCGTGATAGGCTCGTCTCTGGAGCGACGAGACACCGCGCAACTGGATATTGGACAATGCCGTCCCTTCTCGCGATTGTTAGGGCGGGGAACAGGTGGCAGCCACAGCGCAGCCAAGTTCCAACACTCGCAGACACGATGCCCAAGGTTCTGGGTTCCTTTGACATGCATTGTGCGTCATTCAGAATCTTTCAAAGTGTTGGCCTGTCTCAGTTCCGGCACTTACTGTCATCGTCACCGTCTGGATGGAATAGTCACTTCCTACCGACTTACCTTCCAGACATTGCGCCGCTGTTACTCGACTTTTTATCAACATGTCAAATTTGGCAATGCAAGTGACGACTGTTGGCTTGAATACTTTGACAATCCAACGTTTACTGCAGAAACAGTATCATGATCTGCTCGACTGTTTCGGTGCTTTGTATAGCGTGCCCTGCAGTGGTGCAGCGGTACCAACTTCCCTTCTCAAAAGCCGTCTGAAGTCTCTTTTGAATTTTCTAGCAACATCATCGAGATGCCATTAGTCGGAGTAAGTAAGGCTAGCTTCAAACAAGTCGCTTGAGGCAATTACTAGCACTTGGTGACGTGGGATCGGTCTCTTCGCTTCCTTTGGACCTTGACGATTTTGGCAAGGTGCGTGGGTGGCCGCCAGCGGGAAGACGACGCTTTGACGAACGGAAAGCTTACGTACTCCAACCGCCCAATCTGAGCCCCTCTAGCCCCCTTCTAACTGGAAGCGAACCAAGCGTCGTCCCGCGTGCTACTGCGCCTATTGTCCACTGCCCACCACCTGACTGCAACCGGAGAAGAGAACAAGCGGGGGCCATCTTCTAGCGACTCTGGGGAAACCTCCGCGACCGCAACACCCCGACCCAACCACCGGTCACCGAACCTCAAAGGCCGGTTCGTTAGACCTCCTCCGTACCTCCATCGGCGCATATCCGTACATCCCTCCACCTCCTCCCCACTACCACCGTCTGTATCGGTCTGAGGCGGTCGCGTGATCCAAGAGCAAACGTGCGGACAGCCGACTTGGAGCAGGAACCAACCCCCAAACGACCTCCGAGACCGAACCGGCACCAGCACCCCGTCCCTTGACACATCACCGGAAGCCCACCTAGGCAGCCCTACAGTTCTTTTTTTCGCGATGGACGAGTCTTCGCTTGTCAAGGTAACCTCAGCCCTAAAAGGCACCTGTGAAACATTGTCTCTAGCAACCACTGGTCTAACAGCAAATCACCCAGGCGCATGACCATGCCAAAGCAGCCTCCAACGCCCAGCATCAATCCGAGACGACGGTAGCAATCAACGAACACGCCCTCGCCGCCGGCGAGTTCGCCAACGCTGCCCGCTCCACCTCGAGCATCGAGGCCCTCCGCACCCTAAAGCTCCTCGAAGAGCACCACCAGCGCCTCGCCGAACTCCTCAAGATACCCTTTGACCGTCGCGCCGCCGCCAGCCAGAACCCCTCCTCCGAGACCATCGACGAGAAGCAGGAATCGCAAGCCTCCGATGCCACGAGCGATGTCTCCTCACCCGATGATGGCCGTACCAAGTCCAGATCAGGTCAACAGCAGCAGTCCGCTGGCGGAAGCCCCGTCGCCACGGTGAAGGGTGTTCCGTCTCTGGCGCAGCAGCGCCGGTACCCGAGCCGCGAGATGACCTCCTCCATCGCGAGCAACCTCGCCTCGGCGCGAGGCATCCGTGGGAGCAGGAACCGGGGCCAGCCCATCCCGCCGAGCGTCACAAACGACCAGGCGCCGGGCAACATGGAAGTCCAAGCCCGGCGGGACGGCTCGAGGACAAAGATGCAAAACGTCCTCGATCAGTCCGGCAAACCGGGATGGATCCCGCCAACGGCCGACTCCCCGCGAAGGGAGACAGAGCCCAAAAAGACGGAAGAAGTCGCCTCGCCCGCCAGCGACGACGGATACTCCCGCTTCTACAGCACCTTTGGCAACATCATCAATCGCCTCTCCGCGCCCCTGGCCTTCGCAGGCCTACCCCTCATCACCGAGGAATCCTCGTCAATCACCTCGTCGTCATCCATCCCCGAACCCCACGCCGAGACACCTCCCGAACCTGCCCCGGCAAAGCGCAGCAACAGACTCAAACCCTCCCCAGCGGCCCCCGCCGAACCAGACCTCTCCAAGATCTACTCCCGCGCCACCCTCCGCGCAATCTCGGCGAACAACCCCAACGACTCCTTCTACGTCGTCCCAACGAGCGGACACACAATGTCCTACGCCAACATCCTCAACTTTGCAGACAAGGAGAAGCGCCGCCTCGAGGCCTCGCTCCACAGCGGCGTCGGCGGTGGCGGAGGGGGCGCAGGTGACAGCCTCATCGAGGACGACGAGGACGACTTCGTCGACGCCCGCGAGTCTCCGTCCATGATGATGGCGGCACCAACCTCCCCCGGCGTGTCCCGACGTCGGGGAGCCGCCAGCAAGCCCAAAACAGAACAGAACCTCAAAAACACCGTCGAGGAGCTCTACCTCGAAAACAGGGGGCTCAAGGACATGCTCGACAAGCTGAGCAAACGGCTTCACGCGTTCGAGGCCACGGCGCAGAATTCGAGCCTGGCGCTGGCGGAGAGTATTCGTCTAAGACGGCCCGGGTCGCCTGCGACGGTCGGGGCGTCTCCTTTTACTACCGGTGGTGGTGGTGGTGGTGGCATGTCGAGCACCGACGCCGTGTTAAAGGCGCGGAACAAGGAGCTCGAGGAGCAGATGTCCATGGCGATGCAGCGCATGGAGGCGCTGGAGAAGGAGAATCGCACGATGGCGCGGACGCTGGAGAAGTATCGCGAAAAGTGGGAGAAGTTGAAGGCTGGTGCTAAGGCGAGGCGTCAGGCGCAGGGGGGCACGGGGGAGAGCGCCGAGGCGGATGAGTCTGCTGCTGCTGCGACCTGATACCGTAGTTGATGAACAATATTTTACGTAGATGATATGACGGAATGAAAAACAGATCTGAGGCTTGTTACACCTCTTATACGAGAGGGGGTATCTCTTCCCAAGCTACCAAAAACTCTCTTTACTTGCCACGCTCCTTTGAAGTTGTGATATCACTCGTCTCCCCTCCCCTGCGGACCAACATAATGATCCCCATTCCACCAAAAGCTCACGCTGAAGCTCACACTCAGACTGCGGACGTAATGCCACCACCCGATGGGAATATACAACACTTCTCCCGGGCCGAGCACACAGTCCCAGTACCGCAGCCCCCGAAACTCCTCGAGCTCCATCGGATCCCGGCCCTCCGTGTCCGGGTCCCAGCCCTCCACGGCGCCGACGTCAAAGGCGCTGGTGTTGCTCATGTCCACCTTCTTCATCCCCTGACCTCTCTTTCCATCTCCATCTTCACCCCCTTCTTCTCCTTCGTTTCCATCGTCGGCGTCAAAATCGTCATCACCATCAAACCCCCTCGGACACAACGCCTCCGAATCCCGCGGCGCGTATAAACGCACGTACTTCTCCCCGACAACCTGGCACAGCAGGTTATGATACCCGTCCGTATGCAACGGGGTAATCGTCCCCGCGGGGCCAAACCACGCATTCACCAACGGCACGTCGAGCTCCGGCTTGTCGGCGGCCTTGTTGAACGGGTGCGCCGGCGGCGAGGTGAAGCAGTGGTCCGGCGTGAGGATGTCGTTGAGCAGGCGCGGGAGCTGCGCGAAGAGTTCGTGTTGGGCGAGGTACGTCGTGCCCTTTTCCGTTCCCTTTTCCGACCCCGTTATTGTTGTTGTCCTCGTCGTGATTGGTGTCGCTGTCGATGCTGCAGTCGACGGAGACCCAGACGCAACCACGCGCGCCAACAGTTCCCGGAACGGGATCAACTCCTGCGTCCACCCCTCATCAACATAACTCCGCCCGACCTCCACCGGCACAAGCCTCCGCCCACCATGCGTCTTCGACATCAAGTACCCAGGCGACGACCACGGTCTCGTAGAGAGCGCAGGCCACTCCGTCATCAGCGACGTCAGAACCAGCGGCTCCGGCCCCATGTCCACGTCTTCGCCCACACTTGCCTCCTTGTCTAGACGAGACCGACCGTCCAGGTACGCTTGAAACGCCGACATCGACATGCGATCAACGGCACGAATAGGCCGGGCCACGGGCGGCGTAAACGTCCGCGAAGAAGGAAACCTCGCCGGGAGAGGCGAACGCGGTGAAGACGATGGCGCCGCGTCGTCGAGGTACCCGAGCAATCTCGAAATCGTCCTCCTCCCGCGCGTCAAGCCCGCCCCGCCGGCGAGGATGAGCGCCTTGTCTAGCACGGCCACGAGATCATCCAGCACTTTTCCTTCATCGTCTCCCTCTTCCTCACTCTCTTCCTCTTCATCTTTCTTCTCCGTCTTCCCGCCCCGCGCCGCCCTCTTGGCAACATACAAAAACGCCACCGCCGAAAACTTGAGCAGACTGAGCTCCGTATACAACAACCTCCAACAAAACGGCAGGTCCGCGTAGACATAGTCGTAAAACCGGCGGTAGGTCCGCTCAATCTCTCCGTCGAGACGCTCGATCACCGACTCCGATCCTCCTAACAATGGTGACGGCGGCGGTGGTGGTGGTGCTGCTGCTGTATAGTCGCTCAAATCCACGCTATAGCCCGCTGCCGCGCACAGCCCCAGAACCTCAAAAGCCAACCCCTCTACAACCCTCAAAATCTCCGGACCAACGGGTCCCAGACTGTGTCCTTCGGTAATGCTCTCAAACGGTCGCGGAAGCCGGGGTAAATCGGCGGTGAGGTGGCCGACGACGTCCGCGTAGATTGAAGCCACTGCACCGCTGCACTCTTTGATGAGGGCGGGGTTATCAAAGACGGACATTTCGAAGCTCCCTCTTCCCCCAGAGCCCTTCTTCTATGCCCTCATACACACGCCCCCTTTTACTCTCTTGGAACTTCTTGGTGATGGTATAAAAGGCTCTCATGGAAGCCGGATGCTGGATTAAGTCTGGTGGGTTTTGGCGTGGGTAATTGATGCAAAGGTACGAGAAAAAAAAAAGTTGGAGATGTTTGGTTGAGCGGGTCTCCCTCCGTCTGATATGGCAATTACGTCCTGCATTTTAGCTCGGGAGCATGTCGGATGAACACCCCTACATACGTAGCTACATAGCTTCAACGGCTGCGTTCTCAGAGTCGAAAAAAGGGGGTTTTAGACTTTAGCATTGCTATGTCTAAATGTCAATATACCCGGGTCACCTCATCACATCTCCTCAGCGTTGCATTGCTTTCCCATCCTCTGCCTGTGTCATAATCGCGTTGTATTCGCTCTGTTGAAAGGGGGTTCTGTATACTCTAACATGTCCATACTCCTACAATACCGTCCTGTCGTCCCTCCACCAGGTAGCCGTCCTTGACACGTACACGCTCCACGACGGCAGGCGTCTTGCCCTCCTCGGCATCAGAGATGCCCGCACCGCAGTCCCATTGGCGGCCTTCCACCTTATCGTACACCTTTACAACGTCCTCGCCTGCTGCGCTGACGATTCTCCGCTCATCAAACATCATGCTTGTGATAGCGTTGTCGTACGCGTAGGCGTCGTAGATAGATCCTGTACGGAGATCCCAGATCTGTTGATGATTAGCAATGCCCTAGGTTGAATGAAGCAGGACCAAACTCACTCTGATGCTCCTGTCCATGCTGCCAGTCACAAGGTGAACGTCATCGAATTGCAAGCACGTCACCGGTCCTGTGTGTCCCACTAAGCTTCGGTGAACCTGTCCGCTTCGCAAATCCCACAACCGAACCATGCCGTCGGCAGTACCGCAGGCAAGAGCAGTCTCGAAGACTTGGAGGGCACCGATGAAATCGGCTTGCTGCGCGGGTGCCCGGTTCGTCTGCCTCCAGGAGCTTTCACTGCCGAGAGACGCGGATGCCTGCGCTGCAGCCCACATAACGTCCAGAGTCTGAACGCATCGGCCCTTCTCGAGATCCCACTGTCGCAATGTCTTGTCTGCCGAGCCGGACACGAGCGTATCGTTTCTGAAGTGGAGTGCCGTGATTTCGTCAACGTGGGATTGCAGGGTGTAGAGGTGACAATCTCTCATGCTTCCTTCAGGAGGCTCAACCGGTCCATCGTCGGGGTTCTCAAATGCGATGCCATCTTCATCTTCGTCCCTTCCGTACTGGCTTCCGTGGGGGTCGTAGTGTGCCTTGCTCAAGTCCCAAAGTCGAATCGTTGCGTCCATGCCACCGGTCGCGAGGAAGTTGTCGTCAACCTGCAGTGTGCGAACTGAGGCCGTATGCCCATCCAGCAAACCGATGCATCGTCCAGCATTAAGATCCCAGACCCTGATCGAGTCATCCATGGCCGAAGTCACCATTGTTCCGAAGGGTGCGTCAAAGTCGAGAGCTGTAATCGTATCCTGGTGCGCGCGAATTTCCCTAATAGCCGTGCCTGCTTCAAAATGCTCGTGCAAGATTGGCATCGATTTCCGGCGGACCACTCTTTTCTTTGCCTTTGATGCAGGTGTGCCAGCTGTTGTTGGGAGCTTCTCGTACACCGACTGTGACATGAAACCAGAGTCATCCTCACCAGCCAGGTCTTCCTCGGTCTTCGTAGGTGTGTTTATCGCAATCGACTCGGCTTCGTCGACGAGCTCCTGAGCGTCTTCTAACCGTGTCTCGACATCCATGACTGGAGCTAGTCAGCACCGAGCAAGTCACCTAAGAGCTCAGATGGTTGTGCAACTCACGGTCATGTTCCAGCAATGTTTCCTCCTGCTCCAAGTTGGCCAGTCTGTCCAGGATGATCCGGCGCATACCGTGCAGATTGGCAATTTTGTTGTCGATGTCACGGATCTCACTACTTGCCATGTTTTTCCGAACACCCAGCATCTCGAGCTCGTGCATCATCGAGGCCTTGTCTTTTTTCAGATTGTGCAGCGCTTGCGGTGTGCCGGCAGTGTTTTCCGTATCCTCCAAAAGCTTCCTGCCCCTCGATACCCGCCGTCGGTGCTTCCTACCTTCTTCGGTCAGGTCCGGGAAGCTCGCTTTGAAACCCTGGAAGAGGGAGTAGGAATTGTCACTCTCGGGAATGTTCGCTAGCAGTTCGTCGGGTAAATATGTCAGGGCGCGATGCTGGATCTCCGTCGTGGACAGCTTGGACCGAACCATGTCTGTCGGCGTCGTTTTTGCCATGGAAAACATGCTTCGTTGGATAGTTGGCCGCCGGAGCTGCTTGTGAACCTCGGCCAGGGCGCCATGGTAGTGGTGATGATTACTGTTCCCTTGCTCGGACAGAGGACCCATCAAATGGCTTGCTGTTGTCGTGACCTTGCGCCCGAATGCTTCTATACCGCGAGTCTAGGCACCGATACGACACTTTGGTCAATCATCCAAGTTACGACGGACAAAGTGGTCACGCGAGTGGCAAAGATCAACTTACAGACAAGACGGATTGGTCGTCTCCGGCGGCCGCATCGTCGTGGAAGCCATACTGGTCGTGATCCGAGGCGGCCATGCGTACGTGTGCTCTCCCGTCCGATGCGCGCGACAATGAGTGGCACAAAGGGGGAGGAGGCGAGGGAGGACGAACGGGGCGGAAAAAGAGAAAAGGTGGTGATTTCGCAGCTGGGCGTTGTGGGAACAGCTCGCTCCGGGTTTGTGCTTCTTGTCGACCGGGTCGAGTTTTGTCGTCTCGGTCGAGAATCAGATACGTATCCACACTCCAAGCAGTGATCCCGGCAAGAACCCGGTTGGGGACGCCTCCTGTTCTGGATGACGCGCTAAACACCCGAGAAGCTCCCTGCACGGGGCACACGGGCACACGGGACACCTGGGCACGCTAACGACGTACGAGGCTGCAAGATTTGGGGGGGCCACTTCAACTGTGAAGGATGGCAGGGGCCACTGATTGGTGCCCGCTTAAGCCACCCGATCTCTCGGGGGCAGCGACCTGCAGGTGCAGTGCACTGGGGGTCGGAGACGGGCAGCCTCGCGCTTGTGCTGCGTTGGGACGAGTTTTTTTTTTTTTTTCTGTTCTGGAGTGCCCGCCGGGGACTTGTCCCTTTTCGCTGGGAGCGTCATCGGCCTCGGTTGTCACCCGCCCGCACCCAGCCAAATCCTCACGACCGTCAAGCTTTTTCCCCTTTACGACCCGACAATAAGCAGTCCGAATGCGTTACCCGCCCCAACCCGTCGTCCAAACTCCTTCTGCGCACCAGCATCACTCCCAGGGACTGATCTACCAATATCCAACCGGCTTTCAATCAATTGACGACGAAATGGACTCTCTCATTGACCTATCGGACCCCTCCAAGGCGTTGGATTTGTCCCGCATTCGCTACCAGTTGATGTCGGTTCCCCCTCCAACCTCCAACGTTGGTTGTTGACTCACAACTAACAACAACGACCAAACAGTCGTCTCGAAGATACCATCACTTTTCACCTTATTGAACGGGCCCAGTTTGCTCGTAATAAAACGATTTATGTCCCCGGAGCGCTCAACATACCAAACAGCGAACTGAGCTTCATGGACTGGTACCTCTGCGAACAGGAGAAGCTGCAGTCCATCATCCGCCGCTACGACTCTCCCGACGAGTACCCCTTCTTCCCCTCAGCCGTCCAGAAGCAGATCCTCAAGCCCCTACACTACCCGCGCATCCTGCACCCCAACGACGTCAACGTCAACAACCAGATCAAGGACTTTTACGTGGACAAGTTCCTCCCCGCACTCTGCCCCGATTTCGGCCGCGAGGACCGCGGCGAGTCCCAGGAGAACTACGGCTCCTCGGCTACCTGCGATATTGCCTGCCTCCAGGCCCTCTCCCGTAGGATACACTTTGGCAAGTTTGTCGCCGAGTCCAAGTTCCAGTCCGATCCGGAAAAGTACACAAAGCTCATCAAGGCCGAGGACCGCGAGGGCATCGCCGAGGCCATCACTAACGCCGCCGTGGAGAAGAAGGTCCTCGAGCGCCTTAGGCTCAAGGTGTTGACCTACGGAACCGACCCTTCCATTGGAGCAGGCCCGGAGAACCAGGCCAAGATTGACGCCGATGCTGTGGTGGCCATGTACAAAGACTTTGTGATACCCCTGACCAAGGATGTTGAGGTCGAGTACCTCATGCAGAGATTAGAGCCTGTAGAATAGACTACGAAATGAAAGACAATTGCTTAAAATCATATTGCTTCTTTTTAGGGGGGATTCCCTCCTTCTATTGAGATGCGCTCAGGTATTGCTCCACCGCCTGCACTGCACCCTCCCACTTGCTAGCCTCAATCAAGATGAGGTGGCCGTGCGACTTGACACCCATCTCCTGGAACGCGCGCTTGCTGTCCGCCACCGCCTTCTCCTCATTCGTGAACTGGAAGGAGCCGTGGGCCACAGCGTGCTTCACAAACACCTCGTCCTCGGGGTGGAAGTGCCACAGCGCCGTGTCCGCCTTGGCCTTCTTCCCCTTCCTCTCCGTCTCGGTGAGCGTCGACTCGATCTCCTGGTACGTCTTGGACAGGATCAGGTAGTGCGTGAACTCGTAGGGCTCCTTGTCCTCGACCGCGGCCTCGATCTCGTCGACGAGCATGCGGTACATGGGCGGCGCGATCTCCGAGGGCATGTTGATGAGCCGCTCCGTCAGCACCAGGCCCACCTGCGCGCCGCTGTCGTTGAGCACCCGCGGGACGGCGGCGGCGAGGGCCGGGTTAGCCTGCGACTTTTCAATCATGTATTTGGCGAGATCCGCCATGGCGGGCTTTTGGCTGTGCTCTTGGACGTTGAGCGCCGTCATGAGCGCGTAGGCGTCGTTCTCCTTGCCGTCGACCTTGACTGTCGAGCCGATGGTGGGCTGGGACAGGATGAGGTCGGCGAGGCCTGAGATGTCAAAGAGCGTGGAGTCGACGTCGAGCAGCTGGCGCAGGAGCGTCTTGGTGCCCTGGAAGTCGACCTCGGGGTCGAAGTTGAACCACTCGAAATCGACGTTGACAACGTCAAAGTCCTTGTTTTCTCAATGAGTAGGATGGTCTCTGGTGTGGGAATGATAGTGATTCGTCTCTCACCTCATCGTCGGAGCTCTCATCGGCCATCTTGACATCCTCCGCAGGCTTGGCCTCGTCTCTCTCTCTCTTCTTTCCCATCTTGAGATATGGCGTTGTGAGGAAAGGGTGTATTGAGTAAGTGGCGGTTTTTTCCCTTTTCTTCCTTGCGAAGAGGCTCGACCTGTAGACTAATGTTTAAGAGCAAGACTTTTGGCAATTAGATTGTCACTGCACCCAGCTAACTTGGCCAACCCTCATCGGTGAAGACGAATTTTTTGGTGGGGGTGCCCCTCACTAGACTGATTTGGGACGGGCCGGCAGACGGCCCCCTTATCGATAAGAGCGCCGCAGCCGCCGCCCGGGCTCCCGGAGCGGGTCCCGCTCCATCGCACTGTCAAGTCTCGGAACCTTCGCTTGATCAAGATCCTAATGTGGTGACGCATTCCCAATTGAACGATTGAAATTATTTGACAAAATAATCAGAAGTGTAGAGGCTATCGGGTTGAAATCCGATGTCCTTTGTGTAAAGCAGAAGACTAACAGGAAGTGACCGGGTTGGCTCAGTCATGCCAATGAATGGCCTTTGCCCTTTTGCCCTCCGCTTTCCTTGCGCCGAATCTTCCGTTTAGTATAATTCTCTTACGAGCTGCCCCTCGACCACGATACCTCTTGGTTTTGTTTGCATCACCAAAGGTCGGTCTTATCCAGGGGGTACCGTCTGCTTCAGGGAGCGATGTGGATGTCCCATGACGTCCCACGGGTGCTCCAACGCCATATTCTTTCTTTGCTTCGCACTCCATCTGTTTACCTATTTCCTAGCCCCTCCTTCCACCGGTCTTCCCTTCACCGCTCTCGGACCGTATTCATAACTCCCGATGAAGGCCCGCAACACGTCTCGCTCTGGTGAAGTGGAGAATCTTCTCCTGGGTTAGTATGCCTAAGCATCCCGGGATGAGCCGATTGCTTACTGACGCCTTTTAGGCTTGGTTTATCTATTCACCATCGTCACATTGTCGGCCGTCTTCAACGTTGAGGTTCGCTGGAATGGGGCATACTCGCAAGAAGAGAAAGGGGCATAAGAAACGAACTTCACAGAAAGAGAAGGTAAGTTTAGTGCGAATTTCCTCAGTTGCAGAGCGTACAGTGGTAAAAGTGTCTAACGAGTATTTAGCCAGATAATGAGGTCTCGACCTCGTCATCAAGTGCTCGCCAGCACGAGGCGCAGGATGACGAGGCATCTGCATCCGATTCCGACTCGGACTACGCCAACAACCTGGACCTAATTCAGGTGAACCTCAAACGCTCTCCCGCCCGTATGGTTTACCTCGTCGACCACATTCCACACATGAATCCTCCGCCAGACGTCGTTGCCATCCAAGACCCTCCATCAGAGTTCGCTTGGAAATCATGTCCAGGCTATAACATTGAATATCTCCCAGCAAGAGAGCTTTTGGAAAAAGACAACCCGAAAACGATAGAAGACCCTGTTCCAGTCAAGCTTGTCGGTTTTTATGTTACCCGGTCGATCGATCCAAGCGACTGGAGGATCGATTGGCGGGAACATGATAACGGCCACTATAGCTCGGTAGCTTCCTCGTTTCTCAATACATGCTGCGGCGAGATAACGATTCATAACGTCTACAACAACAAGCAATCCATCTCCATGTCAAAATTATTGACAGATTCAGATCATCCTGTCACTGGCGAAAGTGCCGTATTGGTTGGGGATTTCAACCTCCACCATCCGGGATGGGGAGATGGGGTTGCGCAAGTTAAGAAAGGCGCTGAAATTCTTCACTAGGCAACAAGCATAGCAGGCATGCGATGCTTGTTGCCACCCGGCCTAAGGACTTACTCAGGGTCGGCTACCGACTCCGCTGATCTCTCAACCACGATTGATTTGGCCCTTGCCGGTCAGAGGTTTGAGTCTCGGGCTCATCCCACTCGAGCGCTGTCAGTACCTGGATTCGATTCAGACCACCGGCCGCTCCACACCAGGATCTCCTTTGCGCCCAATCGAGACAAGGAGCTACGCTTCAACTGGGACAGAGCAAATGAAAAGAAATACTGCAAAGAAGCCAAAAGCAACTGCTCACGATCGGCTGCCCCACTATCCGAACTGCAGCTAAGGTTGATGATTGCGCCAAAGCGCTTGTGCTGGCCATCTACGAAGCTGTTCGCCGGACCATTCCCTGCTACAGGAAGATCTCTCCGCGGTCGAAGTCCGAAGTGGTCCCGGAAGACGTCCAACGCGCTCGTGAGAACGAGAAGAATCAGCTTCGCATTCTGCATGAGCTTCGATTTCGATGCAAACAGCGAGACTAAGAGGAGAAATGTCGCATAGCTAAGCGTGGAACCCGTTACGCCACCAAGATGCACAAGCTGGCTTCGTTTCGAGAGAATATTGCTAGCCAGGCTTCTCAACTACGGGGTCTTCATCAATTGGCGAGGCAGATTCCGTTGTGGAGTCAACCGCAACGACAGGTTCATCTCAAGAGGCTTATAAGACCTGACGGGTCTGTCTGTCAGACCGATGACGAAATCTTGCACTGCTTCAAGGACGAGATTTGGCCCAAAACGAGCGGTGCCTCTGAACCGCCGGCTCCTGAGATACCCAAGCTTGACCCTAAGCGTCCCCAACTCATTACTCCTCAGTGTATGAGCGATGAAGAGTTGCATGAGGCATTCGCCTCAGTGGAAAGAGGCAAGGCTGCCGGACCAGACGATATCATCAGCAACGCTCTCAAGGTTGGGTGGGCTGAAATTTACAAATACTTCAAACATCTCGTCAACGCCAGCTTCATGATTTTTTACCACCCCCTTTTTTTCGCGACGCGACAACGAATGTCTTTCCCAAGCCTGACAAGGAGGACTATGCTCAACCAAAAGCGTATCGTTCCATAGCCTTGTCCTCTTGCATAGGCAAGCTGCTGGAAAGGCTGGTGGCGGCACGACTACAATTACTTGCGGTCCAGCACAATTTTCTCCCAAACAGGCAATTCGCATGCGTCGGAAGGAGCACCACCGAGGCCCTAGAGCACATCTTCAACTTCGTCTACAAAGCTTGGTCTTTGGAGAATAAGGGGAGGCGCAAGAGGCGAACGACAATGTGCAGCTCGGATATCTCAGGAGCTTACGGTCACGTTGACCGTCAAGCACTTTCTACCTTCTTCCCCTGGGACCCCTTCTTGGCTTCCTCCTCATCAACCCCTCCTACGCCAGGCTCCTCCAGAGCACCAGTGCTCTTCGTCACCGCCAACACAGTAGGCAAGGCAAACACCAGAGCTCCCATACTCAACCCCCAATTCATCGCAAGCTGTGCCATGGCGCTCGCCCGCTGGGCGTTGATCCGCCACGCCATGGCCCCGCCTGCCGCCTGGAACGCCTTGTACGCGCCGACCAGCACCGCCGCCCGCCCCGTCGAGTTGGACTGCGCGCCCACGAGCCAGTAGCAATACGACTGCCACAGCGAATCGTAGGCCCCATATAGCACATACAGCACCATGGGTCCGGCAGCTGACGTCCTCGCGCCGCTGCCCGGCGCGCCCTGCGCGTAGTCGACGTCCTGTGCGTGGCCCCGGGCCCGCCGCGCGTCCTGCCACCGCTGGAACCGGTACCCACCGCCCCAGATGGCCATGCCCGTGGCGAAGAGGACGGCCCAGCCGAGGCGGGCACGCCCGGGGCGATCGAGCGCGGGCAGGTCGAGGAGGAGGCCGATGAGGAGGCCGCCGACCATTTGGGCGAGCCAGTAGAGGGCGCCGTTGAGGGAGCGGGTGCGGAGGGTGAAGGTCATGCCGTTGACTTCGTTCTGCTGGTACGAGTAGAAGACGTTGGCGCAGAAGAAGAGGGGCAGCATGCAGGCGACGCGCCAGGTGCATAGCGTCGTGGTCGTCATGGTCACGAGGCCCTTGGCCCTGGCGGCGAAGCCGGAGGCGGAGGCGTGTGAGCGATTGCGAGTCTCCTCCGCCTCGGTCACGGCGCTGAGCTGCGCGAGACGGATGCGTTTCGGGGAGCAGATGAAGAGGCCCAGGGCCCAGCCGAAGAGCATGACGGCCATGAGGGCGATGTACGTCGCGTCGTTGACGGTGCCAGTGGTGGAGGAGAAGTTTAGGCCAAAGGCGGCGAGGCTGCCGACGCCGCCGCCGAGGTTGAAGATGATCCAGAAGACGGCGATGGCGCGGCCCTTTTGCGACTCGTGGACGTAGGTTGTCATTATGGCGCCCTGGACGATCCACATGAAGGAGGAGCCGATGCCGAGGATGGCTCCAGAGGCGATAACGAAGGTTCCGTTTGCGGTGTCTTTGGGGCAGTCACATTTTGTGAGTATTCGTCAAGGGGCAAAGACGGGAGAAGGGGGGGGGGGGGAGAACATACGGTTGAAGCTCAAGAGACTTCCACTATAGAGGGCGTAGGTCCAGCCTCCGATGAGGAAAGCGACCTTCGGGCCTACGAGGGACAGGATTGGGCCCACAAAGAAGAGGGACGCCACGGCCGTCGTCGAGAGGAGGGCAACGGTTGCGTTGGCCGCTACTGTTGAGTCGACTTGGCCGGAACCTCCTAGGCCGGTGAGGGCGTTATACATCTGTATAAGAGTTTCTGCGTCAGGATTTTGTGATCTCTCAGTCACACGAAGGAAGGGTTACTAACTCCAGGTAGACAGAAACAGATGAAGCTAATGAGGATGATTCTGTGGGCACACTTTAGCTGTTGCGACGAGGGTAGTCGGACTCTAGACGGATCCTACTGTGTCCACGGATTCGAGTACAGCCTCATGAGCTTGGAGTTCTTCCCACCCTCGAGATCATGCTGGACGCCGGTTCCGGTGTGTGACGTATCGTCAGGCAGCTCTCGAGGTTCATTGGTAGTCATTGTCGATATCCTGGCTCGTTGATCGATAGGGTGATTGTCTTTCTCCTCGTATGTTGTGAACCCGAGCTAATCATGTCTCTTTTATTGCAAGATGATTTGACCAATACCCTCTATGACTTATAACTACTGTAACATGTCCTTGACACCTGGTACTTCCAGAGGCAGCATCGAGATAGGGAGACAGGCACGAAAATATGGCAACGTTGAAGTTGAATATCTTGAGAAAGCTTGTCTTGCCCCGCCCTTCCTATCTTCGAAAGTTTTCCACTAGAGTACCATATTACTAACAAGCTTTCCTCGTCTTCTTGTTACCAAATAGGACATAGTAACAGCATGTTCTGACAGAGCGGGGAAATCGCACAAGAGAAGATAAGCTGAGGATCCTCAATCTTCTTCTCCACATTATCCAGTTTTTCTCCCTCGCTGGAAGAGGAGGAATTCAAGTGTATCCCACAGTCATGCTGAGGGGAGGGGAAGGAATCTGGCAATAGTGTGAGTGAGTGCCTGGTCTAAGGGCCTGAGGTCGGATTCGTGAAATGTGATTCGTTCGTCGGCCCCAAAGAGGAGATAAAAGGAACCTGTGTCTGCCCCAGCTTTCTTTATCCGGCACCACCCGCCGGCACGGTCCTCAATGACAAGGATCTTCCCTGAGGCTCCGCTCCGGCCCTCTTTCTTCTGACGTTGTTGTATCCGTGCACCCGTGGGATGCCCTGTTGCCGCACCGACGTCTCCGATGGAACGTGACATTTGGTCTCGGAGGTACGGACAGCACACGGCTCCGATCCAAGGCGGGATATTGCGGTAGTCGGATCTGGCGTTGCATCGAGATCTTTCATAGCCGGTGAGATGGCTCAGAAACTGAGATAACGTCTGGTAAAAGTCCTATAACTACCTAGTAATGGATAAAAAGTATGCCTTTCGATACCTCCTTCCATCGCAAATTACAGCATTCAACTTTATCAAAAGCTCGCACAAAATTCGAACGCTACTTGAACTATTGACGATACACCCCGTGAACACTCCACAGGAGAGGTTTCCTTTGATGTGCGACCACATTTGACGCGACCAGGAAAGAGTAGTTCACGTTCCATGCGGTCTGGCGTGGTAGCGTGAAACAACATACAACATGAGAGGGGGAGCGATATGGACCTTATTGAATCACCAAAGGCAACCATGCGCCACCTCAAGGCCCTGAGTGGGCTTCTTAGACCGGACGGGGTTTACTGGAACGTTACCTAAAGAAAGATTGATTGGAGATCTCATGCAGGCACGGACACGGTCTCCCCTCAACAAGCAGAAAATTCAGAGAAAGAAGTATCACTCTGATGATGTAGTAAACCAGGTTCATGACTCTTGCTTTCCCCATGGGGAACATCAACGTTAACTCCAACGTCACATTTGGAAACACCCACCCCACATTCTGTACATTGTCATTCAGAGCCGAGCTGCAAGTCAATGACACTGAGCTAATTGTACCCGAGCGTTCGTTGAGACTACCCACCCGTGTTCCCGTCTCACACCGGAGTCCGGAATCCTCGGGTCCGAGCACCCCCACCAAAGATCAGAGCGCCGCTCCGTGGGGTAAATCTTCATTTGACGTCAAGTCACGGTGCTCCGAAATAAGCGGCCGGGTGAGACTCTAGCCGAAAAACGGCGAGGAAGCCGGAGCCGTCTAGGTCGGCAGCCTGGGTGTAGGCTTGACCGGGGTCGCGCTTGTAGCATCTGGTAAGTTCGATGAACTCGGCAACCTTTTGATTTCGGATCCCTCTCACTGAGTAGATTTCAGTCCGCGGTAGAACACACCTACGCCTGCATAGTGTGCTGCAACCTCACCAGGCCCCGTATGCGAACTTCTAAGCATGCGAATCATCAGGTCAGTAACAAAATCATGTCTTCTTCCCCACACACCTTCCACCGTCAAAGCAAGAAATGGAAGGCTCCCCAAGACAGGGGGGGATTTGCATCGCGTCATGGGATATATCCTCAACGCATAGCTCCCCCAAGGACGAGTTCACTAGACGTTGTGAGCATCATTCCATGTGCATACATACAAACGGCGGAAATACGCTTCGCAAACATCCCTCACCCAAAAACACGCAAAAACCACAGGCGCCGGGCCGACGGCAATCTCCAGCCGGTATGGAGTACTCCTTACTGTGTTGCTTCTACCGCGTCACCGCTCATTGGTGGGCAAATATTGACTCTCATGGGGCTGTTTCGGCAAGCGATCTTATTCGCTGATAGGCACAAACAGCCTTGATCAATCTTGCCGCCGGTTGAGATATCTGGGAGCGGGAAAATAACTTGCGCTCTTTGCGGAAGCGAGATGTGTGCCGGGTTATCAAGGGACGATATCTGTCGTACCCATGAACAAGATTGAGTTTGTAGGTTTGGACGGCTAGAAATGCCGATGTGTTAATCACCACGTAACCGTTTTAGGCCTTGGGATGTTGGATCCCTTGGTTCGAAATGGGGGGGTTTGCCGCGCAGGGGGGAAGACTTCATCCCTGCGTCCCTACTACACATGGGGAGGTCGCCACGAGGTCCCTTGCCGGTTGCGAGCTTCAGGCTCCTGCCACTGCTCAGACAAAGAGGTAAAGCTTTCGCACAATGGATTCTGTTCAACATCCAAATTCGTGAGCTGGAACAAAGAACACGCACTGCGGATAGCTTCCAGAAACCAACTGAACAAGAACAATGAAGAACCATAACAGTGATACAAATAGCCCATGTCCTCCAGCTCAACCGGTAGCTTCAAATTCCAATCGATCAAGAATTCCTAAACATAAAGAAGCACGCCTCCAAAAAAAAGACCAAAATGTGTCAAGGTATCCAAACTACAATGTCCTGCGGCCACACAATTTTCACTCACTCAATCAACTGCGACAGCGTACACTGCCAGCAGCAGCAGCAACCCCAGCTCCAGCCCGTCTTCCTCAACGACAGCTGCTCCGCTTGCCACCGCCCCGCAAGCTACGCTCAGAACCGCGCGCGGCACGAGGCCGAGCACGCCGTGCTGATGGGTGAGTACATGCGGGCCGATGCTGCCGGTGACGAGGACGGCATGCGGCGGGCTCGGCGCGCCATGCTCGAGCACACGCGGCTGCTACGCCAGCGGAACTTTGTGGTGAGTTTGGTGAGAGAGAAGGCGGGTGGGGATGTCGAGTGGCCTAGTCTGCCTTCCTGTGAATGAAATGGTGAGGTTATTTGTGATGGTATGCATGGAATGATCTTGGAAGTGAGACGGGGTCAGGAATTAGAAAATAAAATTGGACTGAAATTGCAAATGAGGGTATAGATACAAAAGCCTCAAGATGCCTCCTACACTAAATGCCCTCTTAAGCCTCGGTATGAGCTACAAGAATCAAAGACTGCCCTCCCCATAAACTAGGCGACCTCTTGGTGAACATCCATCTCTTTCATCACCAAGGCGGGGAATACTTTGGCAACGCCCCAAGCCGCACATCGCTCGGGCCCATGAACTGCGCAACATCCCACGCCGAAGGCATATATGGCATGTGACTCAGGTTCTGGTTTGGTGAATCCTGCCTCATCTGCTGCTGGCCAGCGTTCCCCTTCTGCGCCTGCACTTCCTTCTTCGCTTGCGTAAACTCCTTGACCCTGGCCGTGCCTAGCTTGCCTGCCCTTCTCTTGTCTGTGGGACAACGGAGCAGCGGGACCTGGATGACGGCGGAAAATATGTCCCGTATCTTCTGTTCCGGTTGGTTATGTCGCTTCGCCACCTCTTGGAACGGGAACATGTTGAGGCATGTGTCTGCGATGTCGACAATGATGTGTTTGGTCGTCGGTTGCGTGTCGGGGACTCTGGTTGACTGAGGTTTCGAGATGGTTGCTGCTTCTGGTTTGGCTGCTTGGATAGGCGGCTGTTGCGTGACGTACGCCGGTGTTTGCGGGACTGGCGAAGGAGGTCCGAGATGGAACATGTGTCCCGCTGGCTGTTGGGGAGGAATCCCGGCACCGAGATGCGGCTGTTGCGGATGGACTGCAAAGTGACCAGCTGGTCCAGCCATCAAGGATTGTTGCAAGAGCGGGTTGTACATGGCCCCAGCCATCGCGTTATGGTACGGATTGAGTCTCAAGAGGTTTGTCCAAGGTTGCTGCAGAGACGACGGTGGAAGGGGAGCCTGACTGGGGGCAGATGCATTTGTGCCGTTTGGCAAGCCTGAGTTGACTGTCATGTTGGCAGCCTGCTGCCTCAACCTCGCCTCCACACACTGACGGCATGGCGCCTTTGCTCCCGACGCAGGGCGATCAGCGCAAGCCCCGGTCTGGATATCCGACGCGCCATGAGCGGTGTTGTGAACATCAGCATTCAGCGGGTTTGACGTATGTATGTTCTGATGAGTATGGGTATGGAAGGGGAAAGGGGGGTCGTTGATCTTGGAACTGTGAAGGTGTACCTGCTGATCCAAGAGATCGCGAAGGTCATTCTTCGACTCCGTCTCGGCATTGGAGTGGTTCAGCGTTGGCCCAGACTCAGCTGTCTGTTGCAAGATAATTGTGCCGTCTGCTTCTGATGCGGGCATAGAGTTAATCTTGCCCAGGTCAGTGATACCAGCTAGCATGGGAGCTGTGGAGATTGAGGGAGCCGTGGGTGTCTCCTTTGCAGTCTCAGCGTGGTTCTCGGTCTCTGCTTGCATCTGACTCGGCGTACCTTGTTCTCCTGGTAGTTGCGCTTGATACACATGAGGTGAAGTCATGGACGACAGCATACCTGGCGGGATCGGCGCGGGAACATCAGCCACCGTTTCGTTGGTTCCGCTCGTGCAAACAGGTGCAGATCCATCATTCTTGTCAATTCCGAGTATGGAAGGCGAAATATGTTCGGGAAGTGATTTGGGAGACACCGGTGGTGAGCACTGTGGTCCAGTAGACGGTGCAGTCCAGAATGATTCGGAATGACAGGCCCTCTCTGGAGTCGGCATGGAGCATCCTCTCATCGGGTCAACGTCCGGCAAACGGGCCGTGGGTGAGTGATCGACCATGCCCGTGCTTCCCCGTCGTTCCGGCTGAGAGATTGGCTTGGCGGGCTCGGATGGCTGGTTGTTGATGGGGGTGGGAGTCCCCGCCGCCGGTGAGTCTGTGGTGGAATGTGGCGTGACCAGCCGATAGCCATCGATCTTCCTCTTCTTGACAGGATTGGAAGATACGAATTGGACGTCGTCATCCTCTCGTTTCGCTGGTATCACAGGTTGTGGGTATGGTGCAAGCCCTGTTGGATAGACTGGGGGAAACATGCCCAGATAGTGGTGGGAGCTTTCCATATCGATGAGAGAGTGACAGTGATGGAGGGGAAAAGAGGGAGAGATGGGTGTGTCTCGCGGATGCGGGAGCGGGAGCGGATGCGACATCGATGAGATGAGGGAACGCCGCTAGCTGATAAGAAAATGGCCAAGCATCCATATTTGAACCCTGTGCCAACCAACAACGGGCTCTGCTGGGTACATGTTGGAGTTGACGGGGGCAGCTGAGCACATCCAGTAACAGTGAGCCATGAACAGCAAAGAAGGAAGCCAAGAGAAGAGTGTTGGCATGTTGCACAGTTTGCCTTTGAGTCGTTCCCTTTGGTACGGTGGGATTCCATCCCAGCCTGGTGTGCCTGGCAGAAAGAAGAGGAAAATCACAATGTTTTGCGTACCGTGACAAGCACCTTGATGCCACTTTTCTCGGGTCCAGGATGCAGATTGCCACTTGGCAGGGAAGGCGGCATGTGGTGCCCAAGTGAGTAAGGTACCATGACTTCAAGGAGGTGTGCAGAGCTGCCAGCGCTCTCATCAATGCTGCTCAAAAGTGAAAGACCTTGAGACTATTGGGTCGGTCTCTTGCTTGTCTATAAAGTTACAAGCTCGGACAATGAAAGCGACCGGGGTCGTTCTCATCTGAGGCACTTGCTTCATTGTCCAGTCATGGACTCATCTAGTGTCTTCATGACCTTATCAAGGCAGGGGTCAATGACGCTGATTGAAATGGGCAGCACATGACAAGACATCATCAAGCCTGGCCTCCATGATAGTGCAAGTTACTCCAAGCTGGAATGAATCTGAACAGGAAACCTCATCGTAATGAATAGTGCTCATTCTGTCTACACCAAGAATGTTGTTTTATGAAGAGTGGTACATTGGTCCAGAGGTACAGAGCACCTCACCTCGGTTCATGAAAATTACAGTGAGCAAAGTAGGCCCCACCATAGCTCCAAGCTACCCGCCTTGCTTTGATTGGTCACAGACGGGAACAGTCAGCATGTGGCTTGACTGTTTGCCTCAGCCTCTCGTCATGTTAAGCTCCCGTTCCGTCTGTGGACCATGCCTTCCCCACATCGCGGGGCAGCCTCAAGGCAGCTTCACCTCCACCACCGACACCTTCCCCGAGCGACGAACCACACATCTGCAACTGTACCTGCAGCAACAACAGCAAGCGCCACCGACTTAACCAAACACCAAGCAAAAGGTCTTTGATCCAGATCGTCCCTCTCTTGACCGCCTCGTATGGTCTCAACAATCGAGTAGAAAATCCGACATCCTGTGGCGACGGCCAGAGAAGCGTCAGCCATGGCTTCCTCCGACGTGAACCCTCTCATTTCGAACCAAAAGTCCTCGGAGCTCCAGGCAATCCTCCACCCTCTGGTCCTCCTCACCATATCCGACTACATCACCCGTCACACTCTGCGGTCGCAGCAGGGACCCATTGTCGGCGCCCTTCTCGGCCAGCAGAATGGTCGCGAGATTACTGTTGAACATGCGTTTGATTGTCACACGATACCGGCACCTGAGGTGGAAGGAGGTTACCTTCTGGACTCCGGGCGCTTCGGCGCAAGACTAGAGCAGAGTAAGCTCAGCTATTGTTTATTTTATACGCCTTCGTTGGACTAACACTCCCTAAGTGAAGACAGTTCACAAGGACCGAAGCCTAGACCTGGTCGGCTGGTACACTCTACTCGCAGTGACAGGCCCGACACCGACCATCCTCCCGATCCACCACCAGCTCCTCTCCGAATTCAACGAGTCGGCTCTCCTCCTTGGCTTCCACCCTGAGGAAGTCTTTACTCATTCCGTGGGCGGCAAGCTGCCCATGACCATCTATGAGTCCAACTATGAGGTAGACGACCCGAGGGCTGCCGAGGCTGAGGGCGAGGACAAGAAGATGGATGACGGAGAATCAAAGCTCAAGCTACGCTTCCGCGAGCTGCCATACACGGTAGAGACGGGCGAGGCTGAGATGATCAGCATGGACCATGTTGCGCGCGGTGCCGGCAACGCGACCGCCGTCGAAGCTCCCAAGGAGACTGCGAAGCCCAAGGTTCAGCTCGTTGAGTCGGGCGGCAAGCGTCGCGTCGTCGTTGCCGACAGCGCAGACGGCGACGATACAGAGGCCCAGCTGTCTCCAGAAGAGGAAGAGATGGTGGCCGCTCTCACGGCCAAGGCGAACGCTGTCAAGATGCTTCAGGGCCGCATCCGCCTCATCACAACCTACCTCGAGCGCCTGCCGGCCGAACCCCTTGCCGGGGCGGACCAAGCCGACGCCGCATCCGCCACCACAGGTGCACAAACTACACCATCTCACACCATCCTCCGCCAGATCCAAGCCCTCGTGAACCGGCTGGATCTCGTTGTTCCCTCTGACGCGGAGGGCTTCGAAAAGGAGGTACTCTGCGAGGAGAACGAGGTCGCCATCACGTCACGTCTCAACGACCTCATGCAGAGTATCAGTGGCATGCGCGACCTGGGCAAGAAGTTCAGCATCGCCGAGTCCGCACGTGTCAGGAACCGCGGCGGTGCGGCGGCGGCCGACTTCTCCAGCTACGGCCCTTCCGGCTTCAACCTCCCGGGCGCGGGAGACATTATGATGTAGAGGGGATAACGGTCGACGACTAGTCAAGGGAGCGAAGGGTCTTTTATGGCGGCGGTTGCGCGCATCATCAGCCTATCTGGGATTCATGGGGAGGCGTTTCGGGGATAATGTAGACATGACGACACTTGCAAGGGGCATGAAAACCCTCGAAAAAATACAAACTCTTTGGTCAAGATACACCAATGTCAGTGGGTTCCTTGAACCTTCAGTTCGAGCTCCATCAGTGAATTTTCGTAAGCTCAGATTTAATTCATGGGTAGTCCCGGATGTGGAAGGTACTGCCTTAGCTACTGGACCACCGGGGCCTCATACCTTAATGTTCAATCACAATCGCTGCCACCGGCGCCTTCCCACGTCCGCGCTCCCTTCCTTCATTGACGTACCTTCCTCATGTATCTCAAGAAGATAAATCCTCTCCTCCCTTTTGATTTTCTTGTTTGACTTTTTTTCATATGTCACAATATCATAGTTTATCATGCTACCCGTTTTTTATTTTCAGCCTGCAGCCTACCTATGCTCTTTTCTCTTTTTTTTTTGTGTCCCGGTAAACCCAACGATCCTTCTTACTCTCTAAGTAGGTATCAACTTCATCATCATCATGACCACCTAGTCAAACTATCCAACGCTTGCTTTCCAGAATATAGTAAATGGAGAAGAAAGAAAAGAATCTATGGTACTATCTATAATCAAACCTGCATACTTGCAAACCACGAACCCCAAAAAGAAATGCAAATTTGGAATTACGCATCAAGAGAAGAGGGGCTCCGACTCAAGCCTCGATAACAACCTTGAGCACAAGCTTCCCCTCGTCATCAAACGTCCGACTCGCCAGCTCAAACGCCTTTGACGCGTTCTGCAACCCCTTGAACCGGTGCGTAACCATATCATCCAAAGGCGGAAGCCCGCCGTTGCCCTTGGCGCAGAGCAGACGGACGCCCGTCGGGTAGGTATTCGCGTACCGGAAGATGCCAAGGATATCAATCTCCCGCAGGTGCGCGACCGACAGCGGCAGAGTCTGCACGGGCGTGCCCATGCCGACCATGATGACTTTCCCGCCGGGCCGCGTGGCGTACAGGCTGGTGTGCATGCAGACCTCTTTGCCGGTGCACTCGAAGGTGACGTCGACGCCGTCGTCTTCGGCGTCCGAGTCGAGTTCTTCGGGCACCTTTGTGAGGGCCAGGATTTCCGCGGCGAGGGACTTCGCGCCGTCGAATTTGCTCTGGACGCTCTGGACGGAGAAGATGCTGGCGGGCGTCATGACGCCCGGGTCGGCTGGCGTGGAGGTGCCGGAGTTGGTCTTGACGACGTGGCCGTGGGTGGCGAAGCCCTTTTCGACGGCGTAGTTTACGCGGCCGGCATCGACGTCGGTGATGGTAACTTCGGAGCAGCCAGCTTGCCGCGCCATGGCGGCTGTCAGGAGCCCGACGGTTCCTGCGCCGATGACCAAGGCCGTTGAGCCGGGCTCCGGCGCGGCTCTGTTGACGGCGTGGATGGCGACAGAGAGCGGCTCGAGGAGGGCGGCCGCTTCGTAGGAGACGTGGTCGGGGATCTTGTGGCACCACGCCGCCGGATGGTTGATTCGTTCCTGGAGGGTTCCTTGGTAATGGGGCACGCTCTTGGCGCTAGACCGGAACTTCATCTTCTTGCAGAGGTTGTATCTGCCTTTACGGCAGATGGTGCACTGTCCGCAGGGGACGCCGACCTCGAGAGCGACGCGGTCACCCAGCTTGAAGCCCGTAACCTGGGGCCCGATGGAGACGACCTCTCCCGAAGATTCGTGGCCTAGGGAGAGGGGGTGACACGCGCAGAGGTCGCCGTTGGCGAACTTCTTGTAGTAGCTGACATCAGACCCGCAGATACCGGTCCGCTTGATGGCAATCTGCAGCTCCCCGGCGACCGGTTCTTCTATGCTCCTCGTCTCCTAAGGGGTACGAGTGTCGTTAGAATTAACATGTCCAAGGCGGGGCGGCTTTTGACACATTCAGGTGTAGGGATGCAACAGGATCAACGTGGGGGAACCCTCGTGTGACGAACGAGCCCACATTCTCCACGTCACAATCCATGACCATGAGCCTAAGAAAGTTGAACTTACCAATCGCAAGTCTCGAGGACCATACAAGACTGACGCAGTGACCGAACAAGACTTTGACTTGTAGACGGGTAGGTGCATTGGTGCCATCTCACCCGTTGCGACTGGGGCCATGATGGAAGTTGAATGACGCCGGCGGCGTGGGGTGAAGCGTGGGATGATGGGTTAGGGTGTCAAAGGGGGCTTGGCCTAACTTCCTAATAGGGAGGGCTCGATGAGTGGGATTGGCCCAAGTGCCGGATGAGGGGTGCCGACAACACAAAATATGCTGAAAGACACGAGGGCGAGGGTCCTGGGAATGAGGGACGGGAGGGGACCGGCGCGGGGTGTCTCGAGGACTGATAGGTTCGCTTTGGTATTTGGAGTTTGGGGGTAATGGGGGGCACAAAAGGATAGACAGGGTTATTTCGTGGGATGAAGATGTAAGGAACCCAAGCTAATACGATTCCCGTCCGAAGATGGAGGTGAGCGAAATAGATTATCACTTGACAGAATGAAATGATAACCGGAAGAGCAGGAGACTCAAGATAAAGGGAATTATGAAGAAACTTTGGCGCGAGGGGTCGTTGCTCCCCACCACCCCTTAAATAGGCTTGCGTGCTTGCCCGGCCCCCGGGCACTCTGAACGTCCTGATGAACGATGCTCATGGTGGTGTCAATCGGTGATAGACCAAAGTTGCAAGGGGCTATCTTGGGTGAATGGGGAGACGGATGGACAACGGGCCATGAGCATACCTATCGAGGGTGACCATGATGGGGAGAGTTGGCCAAGTTCGCCCAACCAAACATCGACCAGTTATCGGAGCCAAGCTAAGAGCTTCGTACATGTAATCTCGGGAAATCATATGCAAGAGACATCTAGCGACGGAGCCACCTCAGCGTTCGGCAGCAGCACAAACCTTGGCCGGTATCGTACTGGCTTGCGAGGCGAAGATATGAAAGGGAACAGAGTAGGGATGGGTAGGCAATACCGGGCGGTAGTGTACATGGTTCGGCAAGGAACGAAGCATGTCGGGCCAGGACGTGTCCGCATTTGGGCAGCAGCTGTACGCACTGGGCGTGAAATCGTCGTGGCATTGGTTGACGATGCTGGACAGGTGGAAAACGGGACGGCGGATGGAAGTAACTTTTCGCCTTTTGCGGTGACTAGGCAGGGCCCTGTTGAGCCACTTCCGAAACTCTCCAAGCATGGCACAGATGGAGGGGCTCAACGAGCAAATGGGGAACTAGCGGCTGGTGATGGGACGGCCTGGATGGCATCAGTGCGGTGACATATATCGGCATGCATGGGGCTTCGACATGATAGTCATGGATGCAGTGCCTCGCCTGCATGTGTCGCAGGTTGCGGTGACGGGCTATACCTGTCCCGGGTCGTGAGGCTAGTCAGGAGCCTGAAGGTAAAGAGAGCGAGCACGAAGACATGACGATGGCGAATCGCAAGAGGAAAAAATGTAGGTTTGCCTCCCTCTCTGTCTCTGTTTCTCGCTCTCTGTGGAACGGCCGCATGCGCCCACTGGGATATTGAGCCAAGTGGACAGTTGAGGTATGGTCGGTGATGTACCCGGGAGTGAGGGCCCGGAACAGAATGGACCACGACAGGGGTCAATGGGAGGGGTAGGAGGGGAGGGGAGAGCCGGGAGGGGGGGGGAGGGGCAGTTGTGGCAACGGGGATGCATGGCTCTTGATGGAGGGTAGGAAATGAGCAGGTATGGTGAACAAGGAAGATGCCGTGGGCAAAACTACTCTGTCTGCGCCTGTATCCGTACCATGATCTCGCGTGCAAGGGTTCCGAGGGGACAGATGGGACGGGACAATAGCGGATGAATTGCGACAGATGATGGACAATGAACCCAAGATGAGGCGATGAATGCCCTGGTTGAATGTGCCAGAGTTGCAGGAAGAATGGATATGGAGATAGACGGTGAGAAAGAGGAGACCTCTGACCAGGGCAGGGCACTGAGAAACGACGTAGTTGGCTAATTGAGGTTCGAGTTCCGCACGAGATTCGCAACGAAGCACCGATTCGTGGCCCTCGTTGAGTGCGTAGAATCCTGCCAGGGGGGGTCCAGTCGGATGCTCGGCGGTCGAAGGATTGAGCATCTTTGTGTGGCCAATGAGGCGACATGTTCCATCGATAAAAGTTCAACGCAGTTTGAATAAGTAAAGAGGTAAGGTAAAGGCTGAGTGACATGCGAATTTGGTAGTCAGAACTAAAGTAGAGCAGGCGAAATGTCGTAAACTTCGAATTTGCATCGACGGAGGCAGATTAAGGTGTGATCGAGTCCAAGATAGCTTAAGTCAAGTAGTTGGTGAGGAAGAATTGCAGAGAAATCCAAAGATTGACTTTTTAGGTTTCCCTCTTGCCTCTCACGATCCCTGGTTGCCTCTCTTCCAAGTCTGCACTTTCTGATTTCTGTGCACCGATCTTTCTGGTTGAAGGAAGAGAAGGTTCGGATAAGGCACCTTCGTGATTTCCTCGAAATTACATAATCACGCAACAGTTCGGATGGCGGGGTGCCAAGGTAGGGATCTTCCTTGTCTACTTACATCCTCTACTCCGTACGGAGTACCTCTTTCCATTCCTCTGCTGCACATTACCAGTGCCGCCCGCCTTCATCCGTCCGTACTTCAGCACCTTCGGTTCCCCTTGAAGACACGTTATGCCATTCTGTCAAACCTTTCGTCCTGAAATGGAGCGAATCTGCAGCTTTGGCACATTGAGCTTCCCTCCCTCCGCGGCCACATACGTACGACGCTGCATGGTTGTTGTTGCCGCCTGCATTCCATCGTCTTGGCCGAACCGTCCCATCAACCAGCTGTCGGATACGTTCTAGAATGAGAGCTACCGCCTTTACAAGTTACAACAGCTTTGGTGCTCAAGACCGCCCATCCCTCATCACTCTCTTCTGGCATATGTTCTACGGCACGGTTGCGCATCTATCGTTCCCTGTCCTAGCCGACGGCGGCGCACATCCCGTTCGTTCCGCGGAATGAGGACGCTGCCGGTCGTTGAAGGCCATCACCCGTCCCAGCTAGCGAAGCGTCATGGTTCGCGACATCGAACCATTTTCTCCGTCGATCGCTTGAGAAGACCAGCAAGTTAACAGCTAGAGAGACACTGCTGAACAGCCGCTGTTGACCAGCTGCTCTCTCTTGCCATGGATATGGGAACTTCATTATTGCGCCTTGCTCCCAGCGGTTGCAAAAACCTATTGAACACCAAGTATCTTCACAGAGCTCATATCCTCAGATTGAGCTGCGCACTCAATCCTGCACGTCAGGCTCCGCTGTGATGGTATGCCCGCAGCAGCAAAGACCCCCAGTGGATTCCTCTGAGGGGAGGGACATGGACCGAAGGCCCCATCTGGTGGACCCCGGCTTAGTTAACGGGGCCTTCAAGGGCCTTGCCTACACCTATCCTTGCAACAATGGATTTTGGTATCAAAAGACGGCACAAGAAAACGATGCCGAGGCTCTAACCGGCCGAACCAGATCACGTCGGAAGCAATGCGTCCTCCAAGAATTCAGTACTTTCTTGGACCGGTCCAGGAAAGGCCTTCTCATCGTGACGCCCTCGGCGCCAGAAAGCGTTCCTCGGGCCTCGACTTCAGTTTGATATCACTCCATCGACCAAAACGTCTATAACAGCGTATATCGAAGGCACTGCAACTGCTGCTCCTTTACCTGATTTCTGTCAGCGCTCGAGTCTGCGCCAATCTGATCGAGTGGCTGGGTCCAAGTTCTCCGACTGCTGGTATGCGGATACACTGCATGTGCACCTCCATTTTACCGGTCCTATAGCGAGGCGCTGCGCATGGCTGGTCCTGACCCCAGCCCTTGTAAGTCCTCGAAAGCCCATGACTACCTAAAATACATGGATGACCGTACCTTATCCTGATCCGCAACTTCTGACGCATCCGCAGTCGGCACGTAAAACCCTGCCCGGATTTCGGCCACTGCATTTATTTCTCAAGTCAGACTAATGATACAGACTGCGGCCTTCTAACTTGCTCAGGCTCTATTGCCTCAACGACGAAGCATCTGCAAAAAGAGAGCTGGCATATCACAGTTGGTGGCAATGCCGCCTGTTCTGATATGGCGTGGTAACCGAGTCGCAGCCCCTGGCTACACCTCGCCTGACCAAAAAGTCATGGGTGTTGGATAAAGTCGTTTGAAGCTGATCGACTCAAACTCAATGCCAATCGTACACATTTTCCGGCATGGACGCGAAAGTGGTTCTCTTGATGGCAAGGACCAGTGCGAGATATAAACGTCATCTTCTGGGCTCAGCAAACTTGGAGACACATTCGAGAGCTGCAATGATCACCAGCTACTGTTCCCGTCGATAGCACTAGCATGTACGGCGCCCGCATCTCTGAGGCGCGCCAGATGTTTGAAGGCACACTCACTACTCTACTGAACCCCAAACGAGTGATCTCCAAGTGTACTATCACACGGAGAGCCTGAGCCGACATTGCAATCCTCAACACGGCAAGATCTACTTCTCTGCCGTGAGGCAGATGCGGGATGAATCAGGAGCTGGTTTGTCTGACGACTCAGTCAGGGCTTAGTATTGAAAGAGTCAAGAATCTCGCATATCCGCAACCGCAGGCTGCTTGGGTATCACATTCAACGGTGGCCAGCAGATACCCACTGCGAAACAAAAATTGGAGACAATTTTCCAATTCGGAGAAACCCTGCATGCTCACGCAATCGGAACGCATGGCATTACCCAGGGCCCATGCAAAGGAGTGTCGAGTGGAGCTCTTCGTCATGTCTGCCTGAAGAGAACCCATGCGCGAGGCTTTACCTGGGTGTACGTGATACTGATGAGCAAGCCGTCCTCTTCTCGGTATGCGAAAGAAGAAGAGAGAAGCCCGTCACGTCATCTCATGGGAAGGTGTTGGTACAATGATGTCGCCGAAGATGAGCGTGAGCAGCTTCGGGACGAAAGTCTGGTCAGTCCTCTGATATCACCAGGGAGAGCAGCTATAACAACTAACACGGTCCACGGAATTGTTGTCCGGTCTACCAATGGACGGCCTTGACATATCTAAGACAGAGACTCTTCTCTTCTGAGCCGCATGGAATCGAGTCATTGCAGTATTGACGATGAGGGTCACTTGCCAGCGGCGCCTGGAATCATTCCATTACCGGCGATTTTCTCCAAACCTCAGGCTTCAGCTCCAGGGCAGACGGATGTCTGGATTGACACCTGCCGACGTAGTTGCCGAGTAATGACCTTGCTTCCAGACGGCTATTGATCTCGATGGAAGTTTTCCATCCCAAAAGTCGAATGGGAAGACTGGGGGGAGCATAGCTCGATACGACCTCACTAGGCCATGGCCTCTCCGCATGTACATCGTCTGCTCAGGCATGTCAGCGAGGGTGTCTACCGGATCTCTGGAATAAAGTGAAACACTGCTCGCATCGCTGACAAAAATGCCAGATAAATTAGAAAGAGAGAAGTGGCTGACGCCTCCATTCCAGAAACCGACGCTGACAGACAGCGTCTGTCAGGCCGCCGGATTTCGCCGTAATTTAGTGAACAGGAAAGTCTAGCTGGTCTGGCAACGCGGAAACGCTGCATATTTCGGGTAGGGGACAGAAGTACCAAAGCCCAAATAAGCTGAAAAGCACTATGAGACCCGATCAGCTGCATTCAGCTTCCTCGGCATGCCTCTAGAGTTTCAACGGTCAACTACATTGCATAGGAATATCGCCATGGCACGATACATCCAAGACAATCCTCAGACCGCTGGAAAGGACCTCATCAGCCAATGTAAGGTCCTTGAATCCAGACAGCAATTGGTTCTCTACCCCAGAGAACTAAACACAAGCAAATTTCCTTCTGAAGAGGTAATTAGGTCGTGGATGATGCGAGGAGGAGGAGGGGCCACTCAAAATGGTCAGAGGCGTCTGGGTGCCCAATAGAAGAACAACCTACGAACAGAACACCACCATCAAATCGTAGACATCTTGCCTGCAGCCACCGCCTCAATCGTCGCTCAATTACCTTATATCAACGAAGCAACATGTGAATCTTGTCCCCCTTTTCCAGTGCGAAGCTAGCATGTGCATTTCAGCCAATCTACCACCCATCAGCAGCAGCAGCAGCAGCCGTACTATAATAAAACTCACCTACACACACCCACATTGCGTTTCCGCATCCGCATCCGCGTAACTCCCCCGGGCGTATAATATAGCCTGCCTTTCATACCTTGACTCACACACCTCACCGCCAATCGATCAAATCCAAGCCAAGCCAACAGACAGCAACGTCCACTTCCCGAGCATTGGCAGACAAAAAAAAAAAAAAAAAAAAAAGACACATTGAGACCCCCCGGAAGCCGAAATCGGGGGGTGAAATTGGGATCTGATTCATTGAGTCGGTGAGTGAGGGGAAACACGACATCCGCCACACCCATGTGTATTTCGCAGTTCATATACTATATTATCATGTGCCTCTACTGCAGCCGCTACGAGACGGATGACGACGACACGGTAAGCGGGTGAAGGAGAACGATATCGCATGGGAAGCACAACATGCCCTGGTGCATCCCTCGGTGTGTCTTTTATGTGAATGGCTGCGAAAAACGCACCCACCTTCAATTACACGTTGCTCTTGCTCTGCTTTTGCGTCACAATCAAGACACTTTCCTCAGCCTACCTCAACCTCGAGGTGCACTCAAGGTGCCTTGAGGTAGGTAGAGTCACGTTTCACCGCCTACCGCCACCGGCACACGCACGCCGAGTCGTCCATTAAGAATCTCATCGTGACGCTGCGTCCTGTCAGTCATCGCCATATGCCACCCCCCAACGAGACCTTTCTCTCCAATGTTGTCTCTCATAAACAGCAGGCGGGCGAGCTCACGCCGGATACAATCGCGCATACCCAGTCAAATGCAGAGGAGAGAATCAAGAATTACAAAAAAAGGCAAGGCTCATACTTTGGGAATCTATGTGTATGGGAGCACAAACAGGACGGATACAGCATTACACATCATACGAGCTTTTTTGGGAGAGAAAAAAAGTGCCTGCCCCGAAAGCCCCCCCTCCGTACAAAAAGGTCTCGGTCCAAGGATCTTTCCCCCCCTCCTCCCTCCCCTCCCCTCCCTCCGAGGAGCGGCATCGCCCGTTCACCCGCACCTCGCAAACAAAGGTCGACGCGATCAGAAAGTGCTGGTCGCCAATCGGCTCGCCGCGTTTCTCGCATCCACTCGGTCCTCGTCGTCCTCCTCTGCCACACCGGACAGGCTCGCCCGGCCGCCCGCTGCGCCGAGGCCCTTGTTCTGCCCCGCACCCTGGCTGTCGTCGCCCTCACCGTCCTCGGGGACGCCCATAAGACTGCCAGACACGCTGCGGTTGAGCGTGTCGGTACGTCGTGGAACACCGCTCCATGCATCACCCTTGGGACCTTGGCTGGCTGCCACGCTGGCCCTTCTGACGGGAGGGTGAGCCTCGCGTCCCAGTCGACTCAGACCGCCAGATGCGTCAATGGCGCGGATGTCTGGTCTTACGCTCTCGAGGACGGCGAGAGCACGTCGCTCCGCTTCAATCTCGCGAATGACATATTCTCTGATGCTGAGCCGAAGGTCCGCTGCAGTCCTCGCGAACCACTTTCGGCGCTCCTGTACGAGATTTTGCGTGACACGAGTCGTCTTTTGGTAGAGGTAGGTCTCGTTTTGGCGGGCGTCATCGAGGGCTGTAATGGCCTCATCGACCTTCTCGCGCCTTACGTTGGAGCTCGCCTTCAGACGATCGGCAGCATTGAGCTTGCTACGTGTGTTCTCTTGTGCCTGGAGGAATTCGCGAATGAGGATTTGGCGATTTGTGAGTGACTCCTTGACCACAAATGAGTCCTGGGAATGGTACTGGAAAGGATCACCAATGGTGGTAGCTTCCGCAGTAGCTTGCGCAGCGTGGTAATCACCGACGGTCTGTACGATCTTGCCCAACTTACGATAGGCATTGGCGAGACCCTGATGGGGCTCTTGGATATGCATGGAGCCGAGCTTGACGCCAAAGTCGGATTCAGCCAATCCCAGACCTAGATGATATCAGACCTGCAAATGCCCGCGCGTTGTTGGGAAGGATTGACGTTGGACTTACCTCGACGAGACTTGACGAGCTTATCGACCTTGTGGCCGGCATCCATGGTTCCAAGGTAGAAGAGCTTCACAATCGGACGAGCCTCCTGGAGCTCCGGAGTGTCGTCCGGCGGGGGAGCAAACTGCTTCAGGATCTTTCTGCGCACACCCGTCGCCGGCTGCTTCATCTTTACCATGGGGCTGTAACCGAAATCGCTCTCAACGAAGAGGACCATCTCATCGTCCCTCATAAGGACTTCGTTGCTGCACACGTAGTTGAACCACCGTTGTAATAGAGCCTTAACACGGGCTTCGTCCTCGTCCGTGCCAGCGCCGGCCGAAGTCACGGCGGGCGGTACGGTAGGTACCAGGCATTCCGGGTTGGCTGAAATCAGGTGCTCCGCAAGCTTGACGAATTCGGAATGGAAGCGACGTACGTCGCGGTACTGCGTGGTGCGGAACCGCGGGAGATTGGTCTACGGCGTGTTAGGCAATCACCTTCCACCGCACAATGGGGTTTGCTCCTTACATGAACATCGAACCGCAAGATGGGGTCCTTCTTCCCGGTGCGCTCGAGACCGGTGATCTTGGCCTGTAGCCTGAACTGAGGCTGCTGAGGCTTGCGCGGCTGTTGTTGAGCCTGACCGCCCTCGGCCGCGGGGCCACCTTGTTCTTGCGACTTTTGAGGCAGCTCAGGTCCCGGACCATCGCCGCTGGAGCGGGCTTCTGAGCCTATTTCAGTCCTCGACTCCTGTGTTTCCACCTCGGTGGTCGACTGGGTGCTGCTTGCGGTGTCTGGTCGTCTGTATTGCTGCTCGCCGCCAAAGCCCTCCTGGTGGTCTTGCGGCGTTGCGTTGCCGGGACTCGGTGAGTAGTTGAAGGGGGATCCAGCCGGGTCGCCGCCGAGGTCAGCACCAAGAGATGAGAAGTTGGTCTGGTTGGGCCGGGGCGAGGAGCCTGGGGAGTTTCCCCAGGGTGATGCGCCGCTCTCTTCGTGGATAGAGGCGCTGTAATCCATGGCTACGGCGGTCTCGTTGTCGTCGTTGTTCGTCGTCTGCGAAGGCGTGCGATCGATGATGTCGTCGGGTTGCGTGGACGGATCACGACTGGCCGACAAAGCCGATGCGGGGAAGAGGGAACGGGTGTAGATGGTTATTTGGGGATTCGGCACACGAGCCTATCCATTGATCGGTGTCGGAATGAAATAGTGCTTGTCGTGGGCCGGAGGATAGTGGTCCGGCTGTGTAGATGATGGTCCGTATAATCGCTCTCGTGTCGTTCGCAAGCTGAGGCGGGATGCGAGCGTGACGTCCAGAAGGCCGGGGGACCTTTTCTCCACGCAGCTGCCTTGAATTGGTTCGTAACCACCGCAGTTCAAAGCCTCAGGTACGCCGGAGGGCCACAGAGCCTACCCAAAGCCCGCGAAGCACCACAGCCCCACTCATCCTCCGCTTCGGCTTAGCGTCCCCACGTCCTCTGGTCGCAACCTGGAAGAAGAAGCTCGGGCCAGCGCACCTAAGCACAGAAGTAAGGTACGCCTCCAGTTGCTTCCGGCCGGGTTCTGTCTCTCCTTGGGAAAAAGTGACGACACACGCGCGGCAGACATCGCGCCTAACTTACCCTGACAGCTCTCAGCTTTGACCAATAGGGACACCGGAATCCCAGCAACCTCGAAACTTCAACATTCTTTTTCAGCCTTGCGGCGACGGTTTTTTGACGATTGCTATCTTTACAAGGTGGAAAGGCCACCGAGACGACGGCACATAGAGGGCGCAAACCATGGCGCATATGACCAACACCTTGGCGACGGCCGAGCAGCTCTACAAGCGCAATTCCTTCAGCTCACTACCGGCCGACCTCCAGGATGTCATATTCTATGCGACGCAGTGCCTAACACAGGCTGCCGGTGTGCTACTCGACCTGCCGCAGTCGACAACGGCACAGGCGAACGTCTTGCTGGCGCGGTACTGGCTCGTCGAGTCGCCAATGGCAGGAGAATTCAGCGTGAGTCGCAAGCAACACATTCCATACAACATCTTCAACTTCCACTAACGAGATCTCCAGGACGTCTCCGCCGCAGCCCTCTACCTGGTCGCCAAAATGGGCCCCGTCCCACGCTCAACACGAGACGTCTCAAACGTATACGCCTACCTCCTCTCCCCAGCCTCCGCCCTCTTCCGCGGCGAGCCACCAGACGACGACCCGAAGAAGCGCCCCCGCCCGGATCCGACGACGTACTACCAGACAGAAGGCGAGTACGCCGCCTTCCAGACGCGGATGCTGGCCGCCGAGGCGCGGATCCTCTGGGCCCTGGGCTTCGACACGGCCGTGGCGCTGCCGCACGCGCTGGCCGTGACGTACCTCCAGGCGCTCGACTTCCTCGGGAAGCCGAGGGCGCAGGTGGCCGGGCGGGTGGTCGCGCACCTCAACACGGCGCTGTTGAGCCCGCAGATGCTGTATCTTACGCACCAGCCCAACGCGCTCGCGACGGCGGCAGTATATATCGCCGCCCGGGAGGCTGGGGCTAAGATGCCCGAGGTGGCGTGGTGGGAGGTTTTCGATGTCGAGAGGGAGGAGCTCGGGTTCCTTGTCGTGGGGATGAGGAGTCTTGAGGGGTGGGTTAGAGGGGTCAAAGAGACTGGGATGCTTGCTGGTGGTATGATTACCAGAGTAGGGATTGAGAGGGAGGCTAGGAGGAGGGCTGGTGAAGGGGATGAGGAAGACGAGATTATGGCGCTTATGGATCAGAAAGCGGCATAGAACAGTGATGAACTGCTGGCGGCTTCGAGGACAGAAGATTGATACCCAAACAAAAAATTGACTTACTATGTCTTCCCTAGTCCATATGTATGTTGCCTCATCTCCAGTGTCACTTAACAGCTGGTGGGGGAGCGAGGTATCGCGATACGACAGTGGTAGCTTTGTCCCTCTCCACACTGCTTGTTGAAGAAGTTGAAGATGGGAGTCGATGTCATGCTTTTTGGAGAAGCTTGACAAGTAAACAATACAAAGGGGCAAGTTGTTCTACTTAAGTAGTTACATAGCCGTAAGTGCTGTAGCTCTAATGGCGTCTTCAAGATTACCAGCTATGTGTACATTCCGGTTATATAGTGCGAACATTTACTGCTCGAATGGCAGTAACTTAGGGTGAGGGACGTGGTCCTATGTCCATACGTATATTCACCCTAGTAAACACAATACACTGCGTAAGCGAGGAAGGTACTTGGGTCTGTTTCCATTTCTACTCACCATCATTACAAGTGAATTGGGACACTTGGCCGAGGGGCTAAGGGGGCGCCAGTGGAACCCGTTCTTCCAGAGTCAAGTTGAACAATTGCTTAATCTTTTGTTCGATTCCCTATGATGGAGTCTTTTTTCTCTTGCCCCCCCCCCCCCCTTTTCCAGCACCTCAACAAAAGGCCCACTCCTACTTAGGTCGGCCAGATTGTAGGATGCTCTTCGGTTCTTTGTCTTCAGGTTGATGTCACAATGAAGACATCAGAGGCATCCAGGATACCATCATTTGGAGGCAACGAGTATAGAGCCTACATACATCTGCGATTCCAAAACTCCGACGTCTGTTCAGAGGTACTCTAGTACCCAGGCGTGCCTGACAAATAAAAGGCATTCACCATGGAGTTTTCCGAGCCACATACCTTTCTCTAAGCCCACCTTTCCCCTAAAATCAACCCAACTCCAGTCTCCTACCTCTGTCCTCTCAGTCTTCATACCCCCCAACCCTAATCTCATCTACTTAGATTTCCTCTCACTCACACATACCTCCTCTCATCAACAACCTCCACGGTCCCCGATCCCTACCTCAACGCACAACGCACAACTCAAAACAAACCTCCCGGACCTCACCACCACACTCTTCCAAAATGACCATCATCACCGACCTTACCCAACTCATAACTAAACCCGTCATCACCGACCTCATCAAAGGGGCCAAGTAAACCTTCACCGATCCGTACAGCCTCGAGGTCCACCGCATCTAGTTCTCGCATGGCGTCCTGCTCACCCGTATCTACATAGTCCTCTCATATAAAATTAACAAATCCATGTCCTCATGCAAGTCTCGCATGTCCAATGCCGACATTGCGCTTATGGAGAAGGATTTTGAAAAGATCGAGCAGATGATCAGTACTACTAAGATTGATGAGGTAAGTCCTTGGCGGGAGCTATGCACATGAGAGAGAAAGAGAGAGAGCCTGACTCTCGATATCGAGGTGAAGATGGATTCTGAAGAGACGGGTCGGACTTAGAACAGAGCGCTTGGATACTGAGATGTATGCACGGGCTTGCGATAGGAGACCGGTATGTCAAAGTAAACTCTACACACATCTCACATATGACTGGTCTATGATATGAACATGGCAAGGGGGGGTAATACAAGCCCGCCCAGTGATGCTTCGAAAAAAAAAAAAAAAAAAGGAGGTCGCTACTTTACGCCGTGGGTAGATTGGGACAACCTGAGGGTATGTCTTCCTTGCCCCCTAATACCCCGTTTCCCGTACCATACTGCGCCAGGCTTTGATTTCCTTTAGTGCCGGGTATTCCCCAGATGAACCCCATCCAAGTAAGTGAAACCAATTAACGCCGTTTCGTCTGCTACATATTCTTTCCAAGCCCACAGGTTTTCCACCACTCTTTTCAGCTCCGTGTCTCTCTCCTGCTCTCCGTTGACAACTTCTCCCTCAACGTTCGGGGCCTTCGTTCACAGCCTTCCGGCCATGACTTCCTTCTTGAAAATACGGACGTCCCAAACATCATAAAAATGGACGCCTTCAACGGTTTCCAGCTTGGTGTTGGCAACTATATCGGTGTCTTCATCGTCGCTGTCGCTATCCGTTTCCCATCCCGGCATGGGCAGCGGTGGGAAGCTACCCGGGGCACCTGAACCAGTGGAGGTGCCCGGGCCACCAAAGGCGCCAAAAGCAGAGCCAGCAGGCTTACTTTTGCCCTTCTTGTTTCTCTTCTCGTCGGCTCTGGCAGCCGGGGTCTGTGGTGGTGGGCGGATGATGCGCTCAACCCGGTCATCGTCGATTGAGATCCACTCGAGCTTCATGTGGGGGTGGTGGCTGAGGTTATCGACGAGGAACTTGCGGGTCTCGCGCATCACCCAGACACAGGTATCATCGTTTCTGAACGAAATTACGTTCAGAGCTCGAAGGTTTACCAGCCCTCCGAGGTGCTGCATGAATGTGTGCTAAGAGATTGATTAGTTTGGAACACGCACAACATCTCAGATAACGTACCATGGCGCGAATGCCAAGCGAGGCCGCAAGCTCTTCGAGTTGCTTCCCGCGGTTGCAAATGAGCAGCATGGCCTTCTCATCCAGATCCCAGCTCATTTGAGAATCGTTCTTGATCATCAGCCGAGTTAGTGTCGGCATGTGCTTCTTGAGAACAAGACGGCGGATCTGGTCCATGACGACATTTGTCTTGGGCGCGAAGCTCTCGGGCTTGTATTTGGACGACCGCTCGAGCATGAACAGTTCGGTGATCTGCTCCAATTGCGATGCAAATGTCAGGAAAGGCATGGACACGTTATCCGTGAATATCTTGCGTAAGGGGAGCGGCTGTGCCTTGTTTTCCTTAGTCAACATGGTCCAGATGGGAGCTTGATTGCCGACATTTAGCAACGTCAGCCTCTTTAGCACTCTCACGTCAATGGCTGCCTTGAAGACAGAGGCCTTGACTGGGATGAGGTGAACACTAAAGGATCGCAGAGCGACGCCTCTGGTCGCCCGGATATACTCGCTGATTCTTTCGTCCTCGCCATGTGCTGTCGTGGCTATGCCGTTGACTTGCTTCTCCACTTCACGAATCTCGGCTTCAGTCGCATTCAGCTCGGACCGAACGTTCTCAATATCGCGGTAGAAGCCCTGCAACTGATTCTCGGCATATCGAATGTGGTCCCGGTCGAAAGCGCTCGTCGTGTTTCGCAAGTCCTCAAGTTTCTCCTGGAGACTTGTGGCTTCGGATAATAGGTGCTGTAGACGAGCAACCAATGTTTCAAAGTTTGCCTTTTGAGCTTCCAACGCGGCCTTTGCTCGCGCCGTGGTAGGCGATGCAGGTTCTTGAATTGACGAGCTCGTCTCTGGAGCGACAGCCTGAACCCGCTCGATCGCCTCAGCCTCGTCAGCAGCAATGGGCTCTTCCACGTTGATATCCTCGGGGTTAGAATCGGCTGCTGGCGTGGTCTTGATTTTGGCGCTGATATCTGCACCGGTAATAGACGCTCCCGAAACCTCGACGGTCGTAGCCGGCTGAACGGTTGTTGTCGCGGCGGATGACGATCCTGCACCAGTGGAAGAGCCCGCTTCAGCTGATGTCGTGTTTTCTTTCTCTTTCGCTGCCTCCGTCGCCGCTTTCGCCTCCTCTGCTTCCAAATACTTCCGACTGGCTTTCTCGATCATCTCTAGGATTTCTTGCTTTGACCCGTCATCCGCATCGCCTTCCGCCACGCTTGCCATCAGTTTGCCCGAGACCTCTCGCAATCTATTCATGAAGGCTTCGGCAGGTGAGCCAGCCTCTTGCGTGTTAGCCGGGTTATCGATTTTGGCCTTTCCTTTCAAACTCTTGCGATGCTGTGACTTCTTTGCCAGGAATGGCTCCACGTCAAAGATCCTGCCCAAAACCGACTCCTGACTTTTCCTCTCTTCTTGCGCGCGAAATGCTTTTGCCGGTCCACTCGCTTCATCCCAACCGGGTGCTGATGGAAGAGGAACAACTTGGAACTCGTCATCCTGGTCCGAGTCATCAGGGTCGGTGTCCGGAGGTGGCTTTCGTGATTGCAAAGCAAGATACGTCGAGAAGGACAATTTCAGTTTCGTCAAGGTAGACGCCGAATTGCGCACACATGACTTGATTTCTGTAACAGTATCCAAGGTATCAATGTCGAGAACCACCAAAGAATTCAGCTTGCGGAACCCGCCCAGCGTTGCGGGCTCGTTGGCGGATATCCTACGCCTACTGCGGGGCGTCGGCTTCAACGCGGGCGGTAAGGGAGGGTGAGAACCAAGGGAAGATGGGTTGTACGGCGGCGGGACGTTCAAAGACATGCTTGCGAAAGGAGGAGGCGGGGGCGGTATTGAGGAAAAAGCTGGCAACGGGTCCCAATGACCTTGAGTGGATGTAGGCGGCGGTAGATTCGTCGAATACGGTAGCGGAGGGGGAATCTCGAAGAGGGACGGCCCGGCTTGCATTCGGATGTGGAGGTTCTTAAGGGTCGCAATCTGGTGTAACGCCTTGTACACAGGCCGGCTTAGCTCGACTCGGATGTTCCACCTGGTGTCCGAGCTGTCAGCGGTGACGATGCGCAAATGGAAGCCAACGCTACGTACCTGAAGGTCTCGAGGGACTTTGCATTCTTGAGGGTGAGAAATAGTAACGTGTTCATGAACTTGCCGCAGCTGGCGCTGTACAAGTACGGCTTATATGCAGCTTCGGCCTTGTCGCCGGCGCTGAGGGTATCGAGAGAAACATCGCGAAGATGCTGAGCGTAGTCGTATTCGCTGGATACGAAGGTGTCGAGGCCACCAGCCAAGCTGTCGATAGGTGAATCGAAAGATGGATCATCTTCATCGGGGAAGACGATGTGAAAGTTGCGGTATAGCTGGGCGGCAGCGAGTTCGCGAAAGTGTCTGGAGACGAGGGAGAGGCAAATCAGGTCGCTTTGGCAGCACTAGAAGGGGTCAGTTGCATTGCGACATGGGCTGTAGGCTGAAGGGGAGGGCATACATGGCTGAAGATGTCCTTTTGGGTCTCGAGAGGAAGGTCAAGAAAGCCGAGAGGTTTGGGTGCGGGCTCAGAGGCGGTGGTGGTAGCCTTGTCGCAAGACTGGGGTGAATCCATCGTGGGCGAAGTGTGGCGCATAGGTAGGAAGAGGAGTACGGATACGCCAACTCGATTCGCGATGGGTGGAACTTGCAAAGGCCGTCGGAGGCGCAGTGAAGAGGATACCAGAGACGGAATTAAAAGTAGGCTGGTGAGGACGACAAGCGAGTTTGTGGAAATGGACAGAAGACGGAGACGGGTCTACGTCTGTCCTTGTCCTCTTGTTGCGTGAGGAAATGTAAAAATAAAGGTATTGGCTTGCCGACCTTATGTTGGGGAGGGTGAAGAGACAGACACCCTTGGAGACATGGAGACAACGAATAACGGACAGCGGACAATGGCAAGCTGCAAGTGGACGGGAAGGAACTTGGGAATGGAATGGAAGGCGAGGCTAGGCGCGGGTAGGCGAGCAGGGGCAGAGCAGAAGAATAGTTGCGACTTGCTGAAGACTGACTGCGTGACTGACTGGGAGTGGTGGAGGAGGGGCGTCTTCGGAGGCGGAGGGTGCAGCGTCACGGTGGGAAGTGGTGGTGGTGGTGGTGGTGGTCGGCGTTGGAGGCGAGGGGTGACGGGGCGGGCCAGCCAGACAGTGAACGATGCGCCCGCCCTCGGCCCACTGACAGCGCAAACCTACACAGTATGTACATACCTTGGGAGCCCAGGGATGGGTGGCCCATGGGCTCCAGCCTCCAGCCTAAGGGCGTGGGGCCTTACTGCGCAGGTCACTGGCAGAAAAGATGCGTGGAACCTGCAGGTAAATGGGTGGTCAATGATCTCCCCGGGGTCCCTTCCCTGTGCACGGGGCCGTAGGTCGCAGCAATGCTCCACTGGCGGGCGAGCAGCTTCCCTAGAATCCCCATCACTACGGAGTACCTACTGCGTACGGGCACTATCCGCCTCGGTGATGACTAAGCGTTCATTGACAGGTTCGCTGTCTTCTTGGGCGCTTCCATCTGCTCGTTCCAGAGGGAGAGATGAAGGCTTAGCGTCTCGCCTAGGTAAGGTATCATCCTGACGTTCAAGGGCCACCGTATCGTGGGACTCAAGGATGGCTCGCAGCAGCACGCACAGCTCGCAGCACTCTAATCCGGCCGGCTCCACCTCCCTGCCGTTGCAACTCCCGTCCAAGGTACGGAGCAGAGTCACCGTCGTCCCCTTCTTTCACTTGTCACGTCAGGCCTTTGAGGAATCCCCACCGATTGTATTCGAATGGACGGATATAAACACATACCCTTCATAGGCATGTCTCGTCCCCCTCTTTGCCAACGTGTCGCGGTTCCGGTTCCGGTTCAACTGTCCCAGCTTTCGTCTTCTATCTCTGAGCCCTTTGCCGTGCGACTACCAATTGAAA